AGTGGCACTGGCAGGCTCCGCCCCTCTGGCTGTCCTCCTCTGCTCAGACCCTGGGCTGGCCCTTGCCCCTTGCTCTGCAAGTTCCTCTCCTCCTCAATAGCTTACACCTTTCCCCAAACAAATCCACTGCCTTTCTGTTTAAGATGCAACCTCTGTAGGATTCGGGGACAAAGGTGCTGGATGGGGACAGGGACAGAGGTTCAGCATCTTAATGTTCAGTCCCTGCCAGAGGGGACCTAGCAGCCACCCCCGGTTCTTCCTAGCCCACCATGTGCCCAGCAGTGCTGAGCACCTGTCTTATTCCTGTTGTCCTGAGTGTCCCTTTCTATCCTGTGAGGTAGGTACCCCCCTTTTATAGGGAGGACCTGAGGCTCAGAGAGGCCAGATAATAACTGGCTCCAGGTCACACAGCACATTATTGGTTGGAGAAGGGATTTGAGCTCTGGAGTCTGGCTTCAGGACTAGGTCTTAACCGCTTTTGTGTTGTCACTCTATCTTCTGCTTGTTTCCCACTCATTAACTGAGACCCACGTGGGCCAGGCCTGTGCCACATACACACACACGCACACACACACGCGCACACACACGCTCACACACACACGGGCGTGTGGCATTGAGAGCAGGGGATGCATGAGATATGGGTGAAGTCTGGGCGTTGCATTTTATCTGAATTTCCCATAAGCATCTAACCAGGCATTGGGTAGTTAGAAAATATAATGTCTGCTCAAGATTTTTAAGGACTTCTAGAAAAGTAAGAGAACTAGCTACTCTACCAGAGCCTCTAGCTCGGGGGCATTCCTGCCCTGGCACAGGTGCCCCCTCACAGCGCTGCTGCCGCCTGTTCTCCATCCCGTTGCTGAGGGCCTGGCCTCCCACCCGGCTGCACCTCCCATGTCCCCAGATCCTCCTGCTGACACCCAGTGCAGGGCGCGTAGCCCTGGGCCCCGGACTGGCCTGCCTTTGTCTGCGGGCAGCTAGGTCTCCTGACCTGCCTACTGAATGAGGTTTGATTTGGAGGACCGTCTTTAGTGAGTGAAAAGAAAAGGAGAGAAAGCCATGCCCCAGCTGGCCAAATTGAAATCAGAATTGAATGGCCAGTAGAAAGAGGCCGCTGTACCTTGTAGCCTAATCCCTGCGAAAGATTAAAGATGTCTTTGGCCGTATATTGTATTGATTTGTCCTCTGAAGTATAAATCATCAGTGAGTTGCTCAGGGAAGCACTAGGGAGTGGGGCAGAGAGGAGGGGTGCTGGCCAGCTGAAGATGCACATCAGAGCCATGGCGAGAGCTCGGCCAGCAGGTCTTGGGCACCTACTGTGTGCTGGGCTCCAGGACCTGCAGGGAGCATAATTATGCTCATTTTATAGATGAAGAAACTGAGGCCGTAGAAGGTAGGTCAGTCTCCCAAGGCCATGCAGCCAGAATGTGGAGGAGCTGGGACTGGAATCAGCTCTGTCTTCTGCGTGGGGAGCTCCTGGTAGTGCCCAGCATTGATTGGGACATTGGCATAAGGCTTAAAGAAAGCAGGGGCTTCTCCATGGGCTCACTGGGGGTGTGGTTCTTGTTCTGTCGGTGAGCAGTTCCAGCACCCTGGGCACATCGAGGCCTGTGCTCCCAGGGTAGGAACAAGATGGCTTTTCAGGGTTTGGCAGGAAGGAGCATTGGGGCCCAGCCTGCTCCTTGGACAACACCCTGTCCCTTGCACGGTGGGAAGTTCCAAAGCCTCATCCCCTGTCATGTCCCCGTGTCCCCCGTTGATATTCTGGAGATGCTGATGAGCGAGCCTGTTGCTGGTCTGACCTCCAGCTCCAACTCCCAGGGCCGAGCCTCAGATTTGTATTTAGATGGCCTCTGTCAGTGCGGTGGCATCAGCGTGGGCATGGCAGTGACTGGCAGGGCCAGCAGCATGAGGTCCAAGGCTGAGGTCCCTCGTCTCCTGTTGGCTATGTGACATCTCTAGGCTCAACTTCTCCGGCTGTAAATGGAACACTGGCCTCCCGGAGGCTGCGAGGGGCTGGGGGAGGAGCTTGGCCAGCTGGAAAGAGCTGTGCCCGTTCCTCCCTCTGGGACTCATGTTTCTGGGAGACCAGAGGAGAGGTTTGCCCTGGGGCACTCCCAGGATCCAGAACCCCCTAAAGGTGGACACTTAGAGTGCCCGCTTCTTTTCTGCTGCCTTCCCCTCACCTCCCTGACCTTACCTCTTTCCTCTTCTTCTCTGTCTCTCTGCTCTAACATTCCAAGCATGAGCCAACCTCAGGGCCTTTGCGCTGGCTGGTCCCTCTGCCTAGAAAGCTCTTTCCCTGGGTACCCATGTGGCCTATATCCTCAGTGCATTCAGGTGCCTTCCCAAGTGTCCCCTCTTCAGAGAGGCCTCTGACCATTGTGCCCCACACAGCTCCGTCCCCAGCTCATTACTCTTCTTCCCCTCTTCCCTACTGTTTCTTAAAAGCTCTTGACAAGTAAATGTTTGTTTATGGTCCACGAGAGCAGGGATTCATTTGCCTGTTTTGTTCTCTGCTGCATCCCCAGCCCCTAGCACAGTCCCTGACTGGCACGTAGTAGCTGCTCAGTAAGTGTTTGTGGAATGGATGATTGATCCCCAAATCCAGCCCCCAACTACTCACTTCTTCAGCTTTCCTCCCATCCCTGGGCCTGAAAACTTGCTCTCCTAGCCTACAGAAGGGCAGACTGAGGCTGGCAGAGCATAGGCACCTGGAGTTAGGTCAGGCTGCCCTGGGGCCTCAACCCCTTCCCCACTGAGCTCCTTGCTGTCCCCGAGCCCCTACTAACTCACTGAGGACAGAACTCTTTTCTGAGGAGCAGAGGCAGGGCTGTGAGAATTCAGGGCCTATCTGCTGCAGCTTCAGGCTGAAATGTGGGGTTCAGCCTCCTCTTACTTCACACTGTGGAGTCTGCCTCAGATGTGTCACCCCGAGGGGCTGTCTGCCCCAGAGGATGTGAAAGGGGGAAGCTCAGCCTTCTAGACCCACTTGAGCCTCCCAGCTGGCCCGAGCTTCACAGGTTTATTTCACCCTGCGAGCAGTGGGAGCTGAGTAAGTGAATGTAGGGATGGGGGATGCATGGGTAGAAGTGAAGAGACACTCGTGGGATGCAGGGGCCCTGCCCAGCCAGAGGGCAGCCCAGCAGGGCTCGAGGGAGGGTGCTTGGACAGTACAGTGGGGGGAAAGGGCCTGCCAGGTGGGGGAACAGCGTGAGCAAGGGTCTGGAGGTAGGAGTGGACAAGGCAGATGGGCCCCCGGTGAGGGGCCTGGCCTGGTCCTAGTGGCCAAAGGACAGGGACCAATGTGCAGTGGAGCTGAGCAGAGTTTCTTTTAGGCTAACCCTGTATTTTAAAATTTTTTGGCACTTGGGGTTGTGCCTGCTTGTCCGAGAGATTATATGAGCATACACCATCTCCACCTGCCATGTCCAGCCTGCTCAGGGCCCGGGGGTCCCCTCTACCTATCAGGGCTCAGTGCAAGACCCCTCCTCACTTCAGGCTCCCCTAATCTACTCCCCCAAGCAGTTGTTCACCTGGGTGGGGGTGGTCTCCCCCAGGGCTCATGACCCAGGAGGCTCAGTGCCTGTGAACTCTCCCTCTGTCTCTTGCACTCGACGGGGCTCCTTGAGGCTGGAGAGGGACAGGCCCTCATGCTCTGTGCCCCTCATCCCCCTCCCCCCCTTTACACACAGCAGGGCCTCCATAGATGTTTGCAGGATGAACAAATAAGCGAACAG